GCAGCTCTTTTCAGTTTTGTGACCCCTATTATCCACTCTTCTGGGGTGTTTCCCATGCCAGCATTTTGAAAGGCTTGACTGATCTTTTGGAAATCCTCACACATGGTTTTCATCTTTGTACTTAATTTCTTGTTTTCATCCTTCCAAAACGTGTTTGAGCTTCATAAAAACTTCATTCCTTCTGAATGCTTCTATTGACACTCTTACCATAAAATGCTTTTGGTACCAATCTAACAGGATCTTTGTGGAATACTTTTGGTATCAATCTAACAGGGTCTTTGTGTGCATAGCTCTCCTCTATCCTCAGAGTTCCCTCAGGATGTCATTCCTTGGCTGCGTCATAGTTTTCTTGATCATAAAACTTTTTCCATTTATGAAAACTTTTTAATTTGATGAACACTCTCTCAAATTAACACCTTCTGGTTATGACATTATCATGTAATGCAAGGAAAAGAAATCAATATAGACAAATTAGAGCAAAATATATAAAAAATAAGAAAAAAATAAAATGGTTAGTACCAATTAATGGAAAAAAATCATGGTATAAAATCCTAACCTCGTGCTTTCTAGTTCCATGCTTTGTTTGAAAAATTAACCTAACGCATGATTACTAGTTCGTATGCATTTATTTAGAATAAAAAATCAAATGAATTAAAGCTAGAGCTTATTTCTCTTTTTGTACACCTACAGACAGAGTTTCAGCATTGTCTTAGATCGGGTGAATTTTTAGGGTTTATTATATGCAGAGTTTTGGTTCTAAGAGTAAAGGTACTCGAACTGTCCTTTGTTGGTTCCCCCTTGGGATGCCAAACCCTCAATTATAGTCCATTACAAACTTAAGCGGATCGAGTTCAATTCAAGGGGATACATTTCCCTATGCTTGACATGGAGAATAAATTCTCACGAAGACAAGAGCATATGAACCCCGAAAGTTACTTGCTAGGTCTGACACGGAGAATAAATTCTCACAAAGACGTCGCTTTCACTCCACTTAAAAGGGAAAGAGCTCAATTATAGAGCTTATGTTTATGCAATGCAAGTGTTGTGTGTGAGGAGAAATTTCACAAAAAAATTAATCTAAAAAGTAATTAAATACAAACATAAATATACAAGGGTATAAAATAAATTGAAAGAAATCAAAACAATCATAAATTAAATAAAATTTAATTCTTAATTTCTAACTATTGAGACAATAAATAATTGACTTAGGTTGACCAGGGTCCCCAGTGGAGTCGCCAAGCTGTCGTAACCGGTTTTCGCCTGGGTACGAAATTTCCCTGGCGGAAAAAGTAATGTGAATAAATAAATGGTTTTTTTAAGGAAATGTTTGGATTCGCCATCGACCTTATGGGTTAGGTAGGTCGAATACCTAAAAATCATATTTTAAAATAGTTTTTAAGAAAATACCATTTTAAAAGAGTAACTGGTCTGCGTTTAACAAAAAATTAATTCTTTTTAGTAATAAAAAGAGATTTGTGGTCGATTACGTTTGGGGAAGGATTAGTACCCCCACAACGCCCAAAATTGGTACCCATTGATTATAAATTGTCTCTATTAGTGAAATTTAAGAATTCAAATATGAATTTAATTTATGATTCTATTATTCTAGATTTAATTAGATAATTCTAAGGAAAAAATAATTTTTATAAAACTAAAGTAAATATTTATATTTTTAGGGTTTTATAAAAAGGGTATTTTTTATTTAAAAATATCAGAAAATGACATCTAGTTACTTAAGACAACCCATTTCTTTGATATTAAAAAACAAATAAAATTAATAAGAATATGATAAATAATTTAAATAAAATGAAGTAAATATATATATATATATATATATATATATTATATAAACAGGATATTTGTTTATTTTTAAAATACCAGAATATCTAGTTATTTTAAGACCTCTCTTTCTGAGTATTTAAAAAAAATATTATGAAATTATGAAATTATATATTGTATGTCATATAAATATTAGTGAATAAAACATAAATAATAACAAATAAATAAATAAATAAATATAAAATACTAATTTAAAATAAATTACAATAATAAAAAATAGGATAAAATTGCATTAAATAATGACTAAAATAAAAGAAATTAAAACTGTGGAATTAAATTGTAAAATATATAAAATTCATGGTAAAAAATGAAAGTAATTAAAATATCAGTGATTAAAATATAAAATATCAAAGTTAAAGACCCTAATTCAAAATATTATGAAATATAATAATTAACAGTGTAATTTTACCATAATAATAATACAAGACTAAAATATAAATTATTAAAATTATAGAGGACTAAAATGAGTATTTATCCTAATATTATATAAATAAGGTTAATGACAAAATTATAAAAAAATAAAATTTGGAGACCAAATTAAATTATTCAGAAATATAATTTAGTGACCAAATTGAAATAACTCCAAAATAAAGGGACGACAAAACGATTTTACTTGACCCCAAAATTACACAAATACCCCTCCCCAAAATGACATAGTTTGGAGAGGGGTATTTAAAACCCATAAAACCGACCCTAAGGGCCACTCTTTCTCATTTTTTTCCTTTTTTCTCTCTCTCTAAAATGAGATATTCTCCCCCTTCTCTCTAACTTCCCTCACCAAAGGGAATTATGGCAGTCTCCGACCACCGTGCTCCGGTGCTGCTCACCTCCGCCGGCCACTGTGAACGGTGGTCGAAAATTGAGAAAATACATAAATCGAAGCCCCTAATCTCCCTAAAGCCTATTTCGAAGCCCTTTTGTCCTAAAAACTTGCCAATCAGCCTAGATCTAAGCGATAACCGAAGGTTTTACCTCAGTTTTTACAAGGGTTTTCGATGGCGTTTTCGGTTTTTCGAGGGTAAGTTGCTCTTTTTCCTCTTCTTTATCGTTGTTTGTTGTCTGTGATTGCTCTTTATTCTCCTCTCAGTTCGGTCTTTTGCTTGCTGTTTTCGGTGATTCCTCGGTCTTTCTCTTTTGCTTGTCGTTTTTTCTTTTTTTGCAGGTAAGTCGAGGCTTTTATAGCCTACCCCGATGTTCTGCTCGGATCGGTCCTAAGAGGGGCCTTTCTGTGAGTCACCGAATTATGGTGGTGACTCACCATAGGGCATCGACGTGGGTGGCCATCTGGCCTTCTGGAGACTTCGACGAGGCTTGGGGCGTGGCACGAGAGTGTCGGCAGTGGATGGTTGGACCATCTGGCAGTGGAGCGGCGGCTATTCATCTTCAATCCCACCGGCGGCGTAGGAGCTACCCTAAATGGGTTTAGAAACCCTAGCTCCTACCCTAAACGGGTTTTAAGTGTTACTGGGCCATCTGGGCCTGGACCGAGTTGGGCTTGTAAAATGGGTCGGGTTTGTATCTCTTTGGGCTTTGGGATTTATAAATGGACCAATAAATAAATAAAATTATTTATTAATAATAATAATAAAAATAATAATAATAATAATAATAATAATATTTATAATAATAAAAATTATTATAATAATAAAAATAATGTAAAAATTAGTGTCTAGAGCTGGTTCTGACTCATTTGTAGAAGAGCAATCATTCTTGATGGGCATTGAAGACTCTTCTTGTGGTAGTTATGCAGACGATAGCTTGTTGAGAAAATCAGCTGTGGATGTAGACATGGCAGAACTGGAAGCAAAGGGGAAGGAAAATGGAATGAAGTGTATGATCGCAAGGAATGGTTCTATGTCGTGGTCTGAGGATAATGTGCAAGTGGAGACAGCCTTGGATTGTGGTGATCTACGAAGTAGCATCCATAGCCGGCATAATTCTCTTAATACTGGTAATCTCCTGAACTTTTCCCCCCAGTAAATAATCCCTTTTTTGTATTAATTAAATCTTAAAAGTGAAATCGTGCAGATGGGAGCAGCAGGTTGAATGAATACGAAGTAGGATTAGATAAGTCAGTTGGAGATGATGTTTTACATATTTCTACTACTGGTTTATGTAAGAGAATAATACTCAGGTCCATTATCATGACTAAACTTGTAATAGCTGCATGAGTCAATGTTGGAGCTTTTGTGTTAAATTTATTGTTATGTGATCTTAGTTTTAACCATTGAACTTAATTAGCAGAACCATCTAAAGGTCCTCTTTTATTGATACATCACCTTATATGCTGGCAAAGGGACTGGACAAAGTTCACAGAAATGCCCACCTGTGCCAAGGGTTTCTTCATCCCAGGATGTAGTTTCTGATGAAAACTCACTGGCATTTGTCAAGCAGAATAGTTCTACAAGCCTTGCAACTTCAGATGGTATGATTTTGGCTTCTCTTTCTTTAATCAGAGATGGACCTATTTATTTTTCTTCAATTGTATATACTGGTCACATCTTTTGTTTTATTTAGCGAGTTCAGAAGGAAGACAGGAGATTGCGGTACATCTTGGTGCAATGAGGAGTGTCTGATGCATCCTTTATAGAGATTCTAAAGAAGCCGGTTCTTTGCGGGACCGAGGCAGCTAACAGCACTTCTTTAGATCCCGCTGACAGAGTTCCACAAGCTTAACGAAGCGGGAAGAAGAAAGGGAAAAGAGGACAGATTGATCCTGCTCTTTTAGGTTTCAAAGTCACAAGCAACCGTATAATGACGGGTGAGATCCAACTCCTTGACGATTGACAACCAAACTTGCTATGTACATTCCCTGTAAATCTTTTAACCCTTTTTCTGATAGAGAATTTTTGTACAGCATATTTGAGAAGCATAGGCAATTTAATTGATACTTTTTCAATAATAATAAAGGTTTTTGGTTTCGCGACGCAAAGAAGGGTCACGTGCCTAGAATGCGCAATTGTAGTTATAGTTCCTTTCTAAAACAGGATGAGTTTTCGAGTACAAAACAAAACAAAGGGTGAATGTAAACTTATTTTCTTGTACACCAAGCTGCTTTCTGTACAATCACTGCGCAGATTTTAATTACAAGACTTGTACAACTACCAGCAGTGCAAGTGAGTGGCTAATGCTTTTCTTTTCCTTTACACAGTATAAGGGAGGGTAAACTTTACATGGTTTTCTTTTTCCTTTGCTTGCTCCCCGTGTATATCTTCTGAGCTGATACTACATCAAATATACAACTATACAGGTAGAGAAATCACGAGTAAGATCTAATTAACTTGAAATTCTGAAAAGTACGAGCTTTGAACAAGTTTCCAAATAAATAACCCACTGTTGTCTCTTGTTGAGGTGGTTTCGGCGCAACACTTGTGCTACGTTTCACCTGCAGTACACTCCTTCCTATATGTCGACAGATTGAATCAATAATCTTGGGATCCACCGGATTTCCCGTCACATCCGTCACGTAGAAGGTGTCGTTGGCCTTACCACCTTTAGTAGAAATTAATGCTCTCTTGATATACAAGCTGTTTTCCCGGAAAATCCGGGTAATATCAGACAACAATCCAAGTCTGTCTTCTGTGCACAACTCTAGCTCCAACCCCTGCACCATGAAATGTTACAGGGTATTACATAAATGTGTCAGCTTTGATCATTGACGGATCCAGAAATATTTTTTTAAGGTAGACACGTGTATTAATAACAAAAAAAATTCGATTTGGGTGGGCACAAATAAAATTTCAAGGTGGACACCTTCACTAAATTGAACAACTAACATAAAGAATTTTGGATAAAGAATTTTGGATTCTAAGGTGCCCACCCAGGGTTCTGCATACATCCTCCACTGGCTATGATTACCAGAATCAAGGTGTTCTTTTCTTTGCTTTTCCGGTGTGTGTGTGATGGTGGGAAGATGATTTCCTATACCTCAGATGCTCTCCTCTCGATGGCCGCTTCAAGACATTGTATAACACGGACACGCTCCGCTTCAGAGCTAATCGGGAGCCCATCAACATGTCGGATGTAAAATTCCTACAAAGAAAAAAAGATTAATGTCATTAAAATGGATAACAAAGTCAGCATCATCTTACACCAGGTGTTTCAACTTTCAACATAGCATCAGCTTGTCAAATCCTCAAAGTTGTATAATATATGTAGGTATATCAATGGCTGATAGGACATGTCATAACATTAAAACGGATCATTTCATCAGCTTTTTCTTAAGACAACCATCCCACCTGATAAGCTTCCATCCTTGCTCTGTTGACCATTCCATGAAAAACAACATATTGCATATCCGTCAGAGTGCAGACAATATCAAACAATAGTTTTGGCCTGTCTTTTGACCTCATGGTAATAACAGTGTAATCATTCTCAATATTCAACAGACTGACTTGGGGTCTTGAGCTGGCCTCCTTGGCAGCTGCCCTTACTCCGGCTCTTTCCACCCTTTCGTAGTCCCTATCCGCTAACATGATTTGATGCAACCTTCTCTCCCTATGCATAAGACCCGGGGCTGAAAGTGTTGTTTTTTCTGTTTTCAAGTCAGCATTCCCTTTGAGAATATTACAAAGTAATAACTTTATCGTTGAGAGACGTTTCGGATCGGTGATTGCACGGCCCGTCGAATCATCTGTCACATGAACTACAGCTGCAGCACGGGCGTTATGAGTCCAAATCTCGGCATTTACGACATTGCAACGCAGGTTCGCAAGGACTGCACATACTTCAGATAACAAACCAGGCCTATCAGTCCCCCCAAGTTCAATTGATGTATGCTCTTCCGAAGGCATTACACCTACTGAGCTTCTCAGCGAAGGCAGGAAGCCGGCACTTGTTTTGATTCTCTGCAGAAAGCAAAAGTAAAGATGAAAATGATCAAATAATAAAAAGCATTCTCAAACATATATATGAGGCAGGTTCTAACCCTTTGGATATAATCAATAACTTGCTTATCTCTGATTTTGTTGCCATCATTGTCAACAACATTGAAAACTGAAACATGGGAAACATATTAAAAATAAATCAGTACATGAATAAGTGGATTAACCTTGGAATTAGTATAATTTTTTAGAATTATACCATCCATAAACCATCCTCCATCAGATGATATGTATGCTTTTGTTATTGTAAGGTCCATATCAGTGAGCACTTGGACCACTTCCAGGAGAACACCATGTTTGTTAACAGTGTCAACCTGAAGACACAATTCCAAAATCCAAATATGAATAAGTTGATAAAGGGAATTAAGGGACTAGTTAACCCACATATGATGATTTAGGGTTACCTGGATAATAGTGGCATCCTCACAGGCATTATTGTCAATCACCACTCTGCAACAACAAAACAACACTTGTCAAATAAAGTGCCAAGAAGAGAACATGCCAAATTTGCTCTAACTGGTTGCCATCAAAACTGGGGAAGAAAAAGAAAAAGAAAACTTTGCCAAATTATAGCAGAACCATAATCGGTTTTTAAGAAAACACACTGCAATCTTCTTCAAATCCCTATAAAAATTCTCATCATCCAAAACAACTTGGAAAATCTAACAAAAACAGTATATAAATCAAATTCAAACAAACAATAAAAAAACCACTATCAAGCACAATTTCATTTAAAATAAATTTACCTAGGTTGGTTTACCCTCCTGATAAGCTTAGCATATTCATTCCCTGGAAAAAGAATCGAAATTTCTCCAAGCTAAAACCAGACTTTTCCAAGGAAGAATTGATGACAACTTTTATTCTTCTTCTATGATACTGTACAGAATAGGAAAAGGAAAGAAAAACAATAATAGTAAAGCAAAGGCTCTTCCGAACCAAAAATACAAAAAAAAGAAAAAGCAAAGGATGATCTAAATTTAGCTGTTTAACATAAGTTAATTGAATAATATAAAATACAATCTTTTTCTTAGGCTCCCAAGTTGTAATATTTAGGGGACGCGTAGATAATTGATTGGTTCGACGGGTCGTAGTCAGGCAGGCACGTGCGTGTTGACGAATGTTGTACTTTTGACCAGTCTTTTTTATTTTCTTATTTAACCGTGGTGAATAATGTTGTTTTAAGATTGCCCTTAATTATTTTTTAGACACAAAATTATCGAAAATTATGAAATAAATTTTTATTTTATTACAAAACGAGCGTTATATTATTAGTTATCGTTTTAATGATGTGATATATTAAATTAAAGAATGAGTCTGTAACGATCATCATTAACAACGAATATCGTTAATTAATTTAAAAAAATTAAAATTGTAAAACACTCAACCTATAATTATAAATTAGTTAAAAATTTAAATGTAAATAATTTAAAATAAAGAGTTATATCGGCGATCATCTAATTATTACTCATTTTCATTTTGCCCATTATTTTTGAAATTTTGTCAATTAAGTCACTCAACTTAAATTCATTCAATTAAGTCACTTATCGTTAATATTTAACGGAAATATTGATGTGATAATTAAAATATTTTGGTATAATTACACATTTGATCATTGTTACTTATATATTCTATCAATTTGATCTTAATTTTAATAAATTAAAATAACTTAACTCTCAAATCAAATTGTGCCATGTGTCACCATCTGATTGGACAATTATGTCATCCTAGAGGAAAGAAAATTTTGAGCACTTAAATGATACCTAGGGAAATTAAATATGTGGTTCCCAAGTTGAAGAAGCAAGGCTCAACCATTAAGCCAAAGTGATTAATAGGTTCAAATTTAATTACATATGTTATTTATGCTATATATTAGTGTAAACTTAAATTCTTAATATTTTATATATCTTAATTTAAGTTCACATATTAAATTAATTTTACATCTTAACATTAAAAATATATTTTATTTTTATACTAACTTATTAAATATATTTTATTTTTGTCTTAATCTAAAATATATTTTATTCTTATTTTAAATTAAAAATATATTTTAGTCTTTATCTTAACTTAAAAATATATAATTTATTCTTATCTTAACTTATTACATAAATTATATTCTTAACTTAAATTATTAAATATATTCTATTCTTACCTTAAAATTATTAAATATAATTAATTCTTATTTTAACTTAAAACATATCTTTTTGTTCTTATCTTAACTTAAAAAATATTTTCGTTTTAACTACAAAAATATATTTTATTTTTATCTTAGCTACAAAAAATATTACATTTTTACCTTAAATTTAAAATATCATCAGAATAAAATATAAATATTTAAGTTAAGATAATAATAAATTATATTTTTCTAATTTAAGATAATATTAGAATAATTTTTAAATTAAAATAAGAATAAAATATATTTTTACATTAACATAAGAATAAAATATATTTAATAAGTTAAGATAAAAAATATTTTTAAAGGTAAGATGTAAAATTAATTTAATATGTGAATTTAAGTTAAGATATATAAAATATTAAGAATTTAAGTTTACACTAATATACATCATATATAATATATGTAGTCAAATTTGAATCAAATTACTACTTTGGTTCAATGGGTTAAGTCTTATTTCTTCAACCTATGTACTCCATGTTCAATTCCCTTGACTATCATTTATGTTCAAAATTTTCTTTCCTTTAGAGGGTCACACTTGTCACCCTCTAATTGGTGAGAAAAATATGTTTAAATTAAAATAAATTCAATCATCCAATAAGATGGTGACACATGACACCATTTGATTTGAGGGTTAATTTTATTTTAATTTGTTAAAAAATATGATCAAATTGATAGAATATATAAGTAACACTGACCAACTGTGTAGTTATACCAAATATTTTAACTGCCACATCATCTTCTCCGTTAAATATTAGCGAAAAGTGGCTTAATTGAATGTATTTAATTAGTAGAGTGATCTGATTCATAAAATTTCAAAAATGGTAGTCAAAATGAAAATGAACAATAGTTAGGTGATCATTGATATAATTTACCCTTTATTTTAAATAATTTACCTTAAACTTTTAACTAATTTATAATTTTACGGTGAACCCTTTAGAGTTTTAAAATTTTATAAATTAAATTAATGGTATTCATCGTTAGTAGTGCTCATTTGGTGTTTGTTGAGCGTTGTAGATTTTTCCTATGGATGATTCTGCCATCCTCGATGACCACCGATGAGTACCATTAATCTAATTTATAAAACTTTAAAATTATAAAATACTCAATCTATAATTATAAATTAGTTAAAAATCTAAATGTAAATTATTTAAAAAAAATATTAATTATATTGTTTTTTATAATATTATTTCTAATAATAATGAGATCAAATATTAACTCATAAATTAAAAAACCTTAAATTCTTTTTTTTGCTTTGTAGTTATCGTCACCGTTGCTGCTGTTATCGTCGTCGTTGTTGTTGTTGTGGTCACTCTGCTGTTGTAGTCGTTGTTACCACTACTGTTGTCACCACTGCTACCATAGTTACTATTGCCACCCTCACAGCTGTTATAGTTGTCGTTGTTACTGATGTTGTCATCATCGTTGCTGCTACTATCACTACTATCGTCGTTGCTGCTTTCACCGCTGCTGCCATCGTGTCAAAGCAAGAAAAAAGAATTTAGGTGTTAATATTTGATCCAATTATTCTTTAAAGTAAGATTATAAAATAATGTAATTAATATTTTATTTTAAATAATTTACGTTTAGATTTTTAATTAATTTATAATTACACGTTGAGTACTTTATAATTTTAAATTTTATAAATTAAATTAATGATGCTCATCTTTAGTGATACTCATCGATACTCGTCTAGCTTCGCAGAAATTTCATACAATTAATACAAATTCATCGTATGTACATTCAATATGTAGTGAAATAATAATTAATTAATTAATTATCGTTAAAAATAATTATTATTAAAGAAAAAGCGGGAAGTTATTTTTATTATTTTAAGATATTAAGTTATTTACTTACATCATAATATCATATCATTTATTTATTATTTTATCTTAATTGTTTTCCTTCGAATTAGTGCTTAAATTAATTGCGACACAAAACTAGTGATTTTAAGTTATATATATTATGAAAAACTATTTTTGATGAATAAGATTTTGATAGATATATGAGTGTATATATAGATTAGATTAGTCATATAAAGAAGCAAAAAAATGGGTGACGTTGGGAAGAATAAAGAGGGCGACGTTAACAAGCGGAGATGTATAGACTCGAAAGCAAATCGGATGGTCCACTGAGTTATCAGTAAATTCCTTTTTGATCTTCGATAATCATAGGACCAAACACTTGGAACGGGTATAGATAGTCACTCCCTTAAAAAAAATTTTTTTTATATATTTTAAATATTTTTATTAATAATTTATTTTTGTCAACACTCTCGGTTATTTGACAATGAATGCTCAATCACCTAATATATCCGTTGGTGCTGGAACTCGTAATATCTAAAAACAACAACAATTCATTTAACTATTGAGATACATTGATTCGTACTATAAATTCACTTCTCTTAATTTAAGTTCGCCCCTTATTATAAAATTTTATGTCCGTCATTGCACACACTTGTCTAGTTGTCTTGGTGGGGATGAATGAAATATTGTCATTTGAAATGTCAATTTTGATAAATCTGAGTTCTTGTTTGATGCACCCATAATTTGTTGATGTAATTGTGGAACAAGTTTTGAATGGTTAGACAAAGCCACCTATCGACACCTTCAAGGAGGGCAGCCGCATGCATGCATCATTTGAAAATTGAGGTCCTACTCCATTGTTATTGGTTTTTTCTTGAATAAAATATTATGTAATATTCCAACTAGCAGATTTAATAATTGCAGAAAACGAAAATATGAATAATTTAAGTATTGTATAAAAAATATTTATTCCGTGAAAAGTAATTTTTTGTAATTATTAAAGAAACTCTAGAATGGAGAAACAAAAGAAACGAAAGCACAGTTTGATCCAATCATTCCCCGTCTGGCAAAAAGAAACGTTATTGCTAAGCAAGTGGGAGATTTTGACGGTAAATGATTCCATAGTCATACATATGTAAGATTTTATGTTATAGGGATGAATGTTTAAAGTTTTATAAAAGATTAATTTATTAAATTTTAGAGGAACGAAAATAAATTTTAAATAAAAAATACATAAAAATAAAATATAAAGTAATTTTAAATTTTTAAAGGGGAGTAACCTCACCTGCCCCTCAATACATTAGTTCATATCCATTAGCGATAAGAAGAAAGCATGCATTCACTTTGACTTCACCTCGTCGTTGTTGATGATATTTGTGGCTTTACTTTTATAACTGGCGTGGAGTATCCGTAATAACTAATCTGATTGAAACCACTTGTTATATCACTCACTCTCGTTTTTGGTCTCACTCTATAAAAATATGCTTGAGAAGTCATGTAACTCGGATTTGAATAGAATTACGTATAATTATAATGGTACAAGTTGCCAATAATTAGAAGTTTTATTTCACATAGAAATTTTATATCACTCTCCAACGTTCATCGACCGAACTTACCACCATCACTCAAGCCCTCAAAAGTTCAATTTAACGTGATGCCATGCAATCTGAATACAATGTTTTAATTAAAACAATACTTGAGATCATGTTCCTCCTTCTCCCTCCAAAAAATCTCATTGGTTGTAAATGGATCTTTTGAACTACATATAACCCAGATGGTACGATAGATTATCATAAAGCTCACCTAGTAGCTAAAGGATTTCAAATGTCCCAGACCAGACTATACTGAAACCTTCATTCCCGTAGTTAAACCTACCACTGTCTGAACTATTCTTTCATTTGACATAACCTCTGGGTGATCTTTTCGTCAAATTGACATCAATAAGTCTTCCTACAAGGTTTTCTCATGGAGGATATCTTTATGGTCCAACCTCCTGGTTTTATTAGTTAATCTCAACCCAATAACATTTGCAAACTTCGTCAAGCCCTTTATGATTTAAAGCAAACACTGAGAGCTTGTTATACTGAACTAAAATCCTATCTTCATACTCTTGGTTTAAAAATTTCTATCTCTGACACATCTCTATGCACTTTTCTTCACAATCATAATCTGGCAAGCGTTCTAATTGTCAAATAAATAAGTATTTTTCTCAGATAAATAAGCTATAAACGTAGTATAGAGAACAAATGGTCAATCCACAGAGACTTAGAAATTTCCAATGTCAATTTGAATTGATCTTGATCCAAAGAAATTGTAAGAGGAAAATAAAAAGGGGTTTAGCAAAATAAATTGAATAAATTGAAATAAGTAAAAATAATAAAAACAAGAAAAATAGATAATTGAAAATAATTATGATGAGAGATAGCCTCCAATGTCACTTTGCCTCAATTCATCTCGATTACTGAAAGGGATTTTACTTCGGGATTCCTGCCATTACAGTCTATAAAGTCCAACCCTTGAAACTTACTATTCTCTCCGATGAACTAATTTTCCAAAGTCAATCCTTAAAATTTAGTTCTTGTTTGGATTAACAACGACTATAGATGATAACACCAATGCAAATTTGAGTGTTGGAAAAGCCCGTGCTTGGATTATGGTGTCTCAATGAGATTTGAACCCGATCTCGATTTCCCTTAGAAGACTGTCGCTAAGTGTGTTCTTAGGAAGTTGAATTTGCTACAAGCCAAATATTCTTCCCAACGGTAAATCAAAACATCAATCAAACCAACGCTCGCCTTTTGAATTGAAGGTGTTGAGATATGTAAAGGAGAGGCCGATTGACAATCCAAGTTTACAGAAAATCGAGAAAGATATATGAAGGTATTAAGTGCTTTTTAATTCTCACGAAACGGATTGAGGCGTTGCTTTAGCTATTGACTAAATGGAAAATTAGCTAAGCATGATAAAAATCATACTTAGCATGTAAAATAAAGCAAAAGAAAATAACGAAGATGAAGAAGAAAATATCTTTATAAAACTAAAAATCTCAAGTCAAATAAAAGGCATAAGGAGTACATCTGTCAAGTTATACCTTAATGAGTATTTATAGCTTGAGATAACCTAAAGAAAATTAAATATATAAAGTGAACAAAACACCTAAAGATAATCCTAATTAATAGCAATCTAAAAATCTAAATAATAGAGAGATAATTCCTAATTAAAATAATAATTCCCAAACATTTAAATTCAATTACAATTTTTAATCCCTGAAGAGTTTTTGTCCATCTATTCTTCCTTCTTGATTTTGCTGACTGGGTTGCCTTCTAGAAGTCATCGCTGAATAGACTACAGATTTTACCACGTCGACATCGTCATGCCCATGTGTCCAGCCTTGATTCCAAAAAAATAAAAAACTGCATAACTCACCCTTTAAACATTGTTTTTTAGAAAGTAGAGTCCTGCACAAAATCGAACATAAGTGACCTAAATCAGCAATATCAAAGAGATAACAAAGAGTAATTAGCAACAAAATAATAACAAAATAAAATACTCATTAAATTCCCCTTACTTATTCAATGCTTGTCCTCAAGCATGCCTTAATCAAACATCAAAACATCAAGTTTCCATCCTTTATTCCACAATATGTCCAATGAGTCAATGATCACCACAGTTATCATAAGCAAAGTAACAATTAGGCAAATAGAAACAACTAGCAATAAGTTCAAGCAAAATCAAGATATCTCATTATCCATCAATTTCAATGTACCAATACTCAATACCTCACAAGGATTCACTCATTGTCGCTTATAGTGTTTCAGGTAAAAGAAATCGCTCAACGCCAAGACTAATAAAGATATTACCATAAGCTTGTAAGAAAATCAAGTCTCAACCACTAGGATAAACAAGATGCATTAATCAAATGGTCTTTGAAATTTTTTTAATGGGCTTAGGTGTAGGTAGAGAAAAAGGCCAAAAATTGGGTTTAAATATCAAGACAAGATATGTGCAAGTATAAGGTAAAATCCACGAAACAAAGTAAATAAAGTAATGCAACGAGAGAAAGTGTAACAAACAACCAAAAACAATTCTTTTTTTTTTCCTTCAAATTTTTTCTCCCATTTTTTATTTTCTTGTTGTTGTTTTTTTTTCGGTTCAAGCATTATTCGAACTAGAGTTTTTTTTATTCTTTTCTCGAATGTTTCTTCTTCTTCTTCTCATTCTTTTTTTTTCTGATTTCTTTTGTTGTTCATAGAATAAATTAATCTCTATCTTGACATGGGTAACAAAAGAGGGTAAAAATAAAATAAAAGGTTTTGGGTTAACAATTGCGTAAAAGTAAAGAAAAGGGTAGAGGCAAAAAATTGGTTCACTAATGGATATAAATGTGTAGGCAATTTAGGTAAAGAAGTGGGTTAATCCTAAGTGTCCTAATCATATTAAAGCATCAAGTTCAACATGTAGTCTCGATATGCATTTAATCACAAGTTCTAGAATATCAAAATTAATCCAGCACTGTAACCCCCTCAGACCGATGTAGTAATCCGATCCGATCCAGGAAGTCACATTAGGGCCACCGGAGCGACCCACTGTAAAATCTCGGAAAATTTAAACTTTTTATCAGAACATGTAAACTCATAAAATCATTTATCAATATTTAGAAATAAAACAAATTTTCAGACTCGTATGTAAAACAAAATACAATTACATGCCCCCTAATCACATGTACCATACTCTGCAAACAACGCCGAAATAACTTCTTTACTGGTGTCGATAGATGCACTGGTACAATTCTTTTAACCTGCAATAGTGAGTAATAGAATGAGCTTCGGAAAGCTCAGTAATACAAAACTACCAGATGATGCTGAAGAATGTGCAGATACAGATAAACATGTATTTCCTTATCTGTTCAGATATTTACAGATTTTTATGCTGAGCAGAGATTCTACGGATATTTCAGGTAGTGACAGATAGTAAGCGTTTAGTTCAGGGAAATATTTCAGATGTTATTGAGTTAATCGATCGATGAAATTAGCCAAGAGGGGGTGAATTGGCAATAAAAATTTTGGTGGAAGCTTTTGCAGAAAATTGAAAAGATTTGCACAACGATTTAGAGTGGTTCGACTTTCTCAACCAAAGTCTACGTCCACTACCTTAACTATCCACACTAAGGATTTTCCAAAAAATTCACTAATTTATTCTTTCTTTTGAGGCCAAAGAGATAACCTTACAACTCCCTAAAGAATATACCACAATTCTTGAGAACACTCTTTCTCAAAAAGAATATTACAAATTTGCAAACTTACAAGGAAATCCTTACAAGGAAATCCTCACAAGGTAGATTGTTTACAGAATTCTAGAACAAAGAAAAGAACACTAAAAAATTAATACAATTGAGTACAAGTAGTGTTCTTAAAAGAAAAATGAATATTGAATGAAAAATAGGCTTGAAATGCTCAAACTTAAGGTTTGATGTTTTCTCTTTGATTCTCTCTTGATTCTTGTTTCTTGTGTTTTCTTGTTATTGATCAATGGCTTCTAAGCTTGTTTAAATACTCCTTCAAATGATTCTGAACGTTGGGGATGATTAGTAGAGTCAATAGAGCCGTTTAAGTGTGAAAACAATTAATTAAATCAGTTGGGAGTGTCAGTTCATCGATGCATACCCAAGGTGCATCGGTGCATCAAGTGTAAAATTTAAATATTTTGATCGTTGGACCCTTAGTGCATCGGTGCACTAAGAGCGCATCGATGCATAAAATGCATTCGATGTTTCAAAATAGCATGAGTGCATCTATGCATGGCTGGTGCATCGATGTATCAAATGCATTCGATGTTTTCATAAAACTCTGAGTGCATCGATGCATAATATGTGCATCAGTGCATAAAATGCATTCGATGTTCAATTTATTCCATGGTGCATCGATACATGGATTGGTGCATCGGTGCATCACTCTGAAAAATTGATTTTAGGCTTGATTTTGGTTCAAAATACTTTGTGAAAATTGTTTCAAAAATATATTAAGTATAAAACACAATTTTACACATTTAGTAAGGTTTGAAATTGATCTTGAAGACTTGGAGTAATAATTTGATATTCGAGTAATTAAATCGAATATACTTAAAAAAGCATTTGTAAAATCCTAAAATTCATTTATACTTAATTTGTTATATCGAAACATCAAAATGTTTTCAACAATCTCCCCCTTTTTGATATAACAAAACATGTGTGTAATTTTAAGATTTTCTTTGAAAATAAATTTTGAAAAATTAAGTTTAAAATTACTACCCCTTACTTTAACACTTCTCCCCTTTAAAATTCTCCATTTTAAAACATTTTAACACTTAACACTTCTCCCCCTTTTTGTTAAATCAAAAAGACTTAAAAATCGATTTAAATAAGGTTTTGAAAAACATAGCCAATTGATTATATATATATATATATAGCTTAAGCTTGCTAAGATCAAAGATCAAAAGAGAGATTAGCCATTAGCTTTCATAAACAATATTCATAATCAAATGTGAAATGACATAATTGGTCATATATGTATAATGATGCAAAAATAAGAAAATTCAGCCAAACCAAATATATATATATTAAGTTCAAACTTCTAAACATCCAAATTATAACTCCTAACAAATTCAAAACATTTAAGGATCCAAAATAAACAATTTAGAAACATCAAAATCAATCCAAGTTTTAAAATCAAGAAAGCATAACAAGGATAGATATACTCCATCGGAGGTCGGGAGGAGGAGGAAATTGTGTTTGCATCTCAAGAGAGAGAACATCCATACGTGCAAGCATCTCCCTTTGAAACTCCATCTGTCGAGCTTCCAAAGTGTCTAAGCAATGATTTACCGCTTCGTGAGTAGCAGTCAAGTGGGATTCAATGGAAGTATACCATAGATCAAATGTCTTCAAAAACGAACGAAAATATGGAGGCACTTGATCCTCTTGTGGAGCTTGTTCCTGTGCAGGCTCATCGTCTGGTACGTGATCGTCGATATCTTGCATGAGTTGCTGAAATTCTGGATCATCGATATTTATTTTGTTTTTATTCTTGAGACAGTGCATCCACCATAAATCCCTAGCACGGAGAGTGGAGTATCTACCTCCGATGGTCTAAACCACCAAGAGATCATAAAATAAAGAAAACGATCGTGATGTGAACGTAGAGTACCAACACTAGCGTTTGGAACATAGGGATAATCTACAGTTTCATTCTCTTTAAATAAACCTTCGTCATCTAACCCAAAATGGAAAACTATAGTCTCGGGTTCAATATTAATATATTGGCCTAAAAGATATGATATAATTGCTATAGTCCCACATTGAGTTTGGTTTTGAATGCATACCGCATTGGAGTAAAAAATGCGGATTAACTGATGATAGACGATAGGTTTGACGTGAAATATTTTTATCAAACTTCCAAGTTTTAAGAATTGGAAGGTATTCGAAGTCAATATCAATCATGGCTTGAAGAGAAGGAATACGCTCTTCCCGGATTCTATAAGATTGGAAAGAATTTATATACCTAGAGTACAAGTCGTCTCTACGACGTTCAGGCATATTAAAAGAGGATCCTATAAGAGATGTAGGTGGAGGAGGAACAAGATTAGGAGGTTGGTTTGAACGAGAATGACTCGATGAAGTTCTAGGGAGTTTGGGATTAGACATGGTTTAAGAATCGGAAAAAGGAATATAACCTGCAAATTGAAACACATGTATGCAATTTAATCAATCCCAAAACTCAATTGAGTCCTCAATAATTCAAGGTTCTCTAAATCAAATCCTAATGGGCATAGTTTTAAAAAACTATTTAGAAAACAATGTTTGAAAATTTATAATATGTATAGTTTTTCATGAAAACAACGTAATTAAATAAAAAACATCATATTTAAAAATTAAATTCAGATTTTCGATAATTTTTTTTTAATTTAAAAAATTCATTGAAAATTTGTGAGTTTTTGATAAAATTGGTTGTAAAATCTAGTTTAAAATCATCAAACAATCAATGCCCGATATAATGTTCATCCTAGAACTAGTCGTAAGATCAAAATATGATAAACTAGAAGTTTTTAGAAAAATACTTTGAAAATTTCGAATTGAAGAGAATGAGATGTTGTGTTGCACGATTTAATGATAGTAGCAGGATATAGAGATGAAAAGCTCAAATATTCCAACAAAGTTTAGTTGATTTTGAGCAAATAGAGGATTTAGAGAGGAAGAGAGGTGTATTTTTAGGGTTTGAAACAAATAAGAAAATAAGCATTTTAAACCCAAAAACCTGATCGATGCATTGATGCACATTCAAGGCGTGCATCGGTGCACCTTCATGGTGTATCGATGCACATTCAAGGCATGCATCGGTGCACCTTCATGGTGTATCGATGCATATTCAAAGGGATGCATCGATGCACTGATAAGTGTATCGATGCATGAAGCAAAAAAATGACAAAATTCTATTTTAAACACCCAAAAATGCTAAATTAATTATCTCTGGTGGTATTGGCAACTCATATATTGAAAATTAATCATGTTCAATCAATCAAATTAATCTTTAAACAACATTTGAACATAAAATTAATTTTCACCAAAGAACATAAACTCCCCCTAACTAATAGCAATGAATGCAATCAAAAATTACTATTATAAGCATTTTCATTTATTCTTAAAAATGTTAAAATTAGTTTAAACACTAAGTGAAGATAGGTCAGTTAAACCTAATTCTCTCCTAAGTGTCCAAAATCTCTCTTTGTCTAAAGGTTTTGTAAAGATATCCGCTAATTGATGCAAAGTATCAACAAATTCTAGAACTACATCTTCCTTAGCGACATGGTCTCTAATGAAGTGATGTCTTATTTCAATATGCTTAGTTCTAGAGTGTTGGATGGGATTTTTAGTGAGACAAATAACACTAGTATTGTCACACTTGATAGGAATGGTACCTACTTTAATTCCATAATCAAAAAGTTGTTGTTTCATCCATAAAACTTGTGCACAACAATTACCGGCTGAAATATATTCCGCTTCAGTGGTAGATAATGCAACACAATTTTGTTTCTTTGAAAACCAAGAAATCACCATATTTTCAAGGAATTGGCAAGTACCGGAGGTGCTTTTCCTATCTAATTTGCATCCTCCATAATCCGTATCAGAGAAGGCATGCAAGCTAAAACTAGAGTTTCTAGGATACCAAAGTCCTAAATTAGGAGTGTCCTTAAGGTATCTAAAGATTCTCTTAACAGCTAGTAAATGTGATTCCTTAGGGCATGATTGAAATCTAGCACATAAGTAAACACTAAACATAATGTTCAGTCTACTTGCAGTTAGATAAAGCAAAGAACCAATCATTGACCAATATAATTTAACATCCACACATTTACCTCCTTCATCTATGTCTAGCTTTGTTGATGAGCTCATTGGAGTGTCATGCGGTTTCCCATTGTTTAGTCCAAACTTATTGAGCATGTCTTTGACGTACTTAGCTTGATTGATGAAGATGCCATCTTTTCTTTATTTGATTTGGAGCCCCAAGAAAATTAAGAGCTCCCCCATCATGCTCATCTCGAATTCACTTTGCATTAGCTTAGAAAATTCTTGGCAATGAACATCATTAGTAGAACCAAATATTATATCATCAACATAAATTTGAACTACTAATAAATCTTTACCTTTATACTTTAAAAACAATGTAGTGTCAACCTTCCCTTTGGAAAAACCTTTTTCAATTAAAAAATTTGACAATCTTTCATACCAAGCTCTAGGGACTTGTTTTAAACCATAAAGTTCTTTTGTCAATTTAAGAACATGATTTGGAAATTTTAAATCTTCAAAACCAGGAGGTTGTTCCACATACACTTCTTCTTTTATAAAACCATTTAAAAATGCACTTTTAACATCCATTTGATATAATTTAAATTCATGAAAACATGTAAATGCTAATATCATTCTAATTGCTTCCATCCTAGCAACGGGAGTGTATGTTTCATCATAGTCTATGCCCTCTTCTTGAGTATACCCTTGAGCAACAAGTCTAGCCTTGTTTCTCACTATATTACCACTTTCATCAAGCTTATTCCTAAATACCCATCTAGTACCTACAATAGATTTATTACTAGGCCTTTCAACTAATGTCCATACTTTACTTCTCTCAAATTGATTTAACTCTTCTTGCATAGCCATAATCCAATGTTCATCATTTAATGCTTCTTTAATATTCTTAGGCTCTATGCATGAGATAAATGCAACATAATTACAAATATTTCTAAGAGAAGTTCGAGTTGTTACCCCTTTGGATGGATCACCTATAATCTCACCATCCTTGACATAGTTGTATTCCCTTGGGAAAGATACTTCCATTTCTTCAATGATTGGATTCTCGATAGGATCTTGAGTTTCCTCATCTTTTGTTTCTTCATTTGATGATGGTTCTCCAACGTCATGTCCAACGTCATTTATATTTTATAATGCCTACATCATGATTCACACAAGAATCCTTCCTCGGAAGGGATTATCATCGAAAACAACATGTATAGACTCTTCTACAACTAAAATTCTTTTATTAAATACTCGATAAGCTTTAGAATTTAAGGAATAACCAGAAAAATTCCTTCATCACTTTTAGCATCAAATTTGCCAAGGTTTTCTTTAACGTTGTTTAAAACAAAACATTTACATCCAAAAGGATGAAAATAGCTAATGTTAGGCTTTTTATTTTTAAAAATTGCATATGTAGTTTTCTTTAAAATCAGCCTAATCATTACTCGATTTACAATATAACAAGCGGTATTTGTAGCTTCCGCCGAAAAATATTTTGGTAAATTGTTTTCATAAAGCATGGTTCTAGCCATTTCTTCTAAAGTTCAATTTTTCCTCTCAACAACTCCATTTTGTTGAGGGGTTCTAGGTGCTGAAAAATTATGGCTAATACCATTAGAATTACAAAACTCAATAAATCCAAGATTTTCAAATTCAGTTCCATGATCACTCCTAACACTAGTTATAGAGTAACCTTTTTCATTTTCGATTACTTTTGAAAACTTGATGAATTGTCTATTGCTTCATCTTTAGTACTTAAGAATAGAACCCAAATATATCTAGAATAGTCATCTACCAAGACAAATGCATATTGTTTTCCACCCAAGCTAGTAGTTCTAGATGGCCCAAAAAGATCTAAGTGGATCAATTGTAATACTCTACTAGTTGATACATCATTAATGGATTTAAAAGAAACTCGCTTTTGTTTTCCTTTAGCACAAGCATCACAGATTTTATTATTATCAAATTTTAGTTTAGGCAACCCTCGAACTAAATCACCTTGAATTAGCCGTTGCAAAACGCTCATACTAGCATGTCCTAGTCTCTTATGCCATAACCAACTATCATGCTCATCTTTAGCAACTAGGCATAAATTAGTCATATCAATAGAATCTAAATGCACCATGTAAATGTTTCCTATTCTATGACCAACAAGCATAATCCGATTAGATGCAATGTCAATGACTTTACAACCATTAGTTTCAAACATGACATTGAATCCCTTATCACATAATTGATTAATACTCAAAAGATTATGCTTTAACTCATTCACATATAAAACATTTTTAATTTGTATGGAAGAGGTATTATCTATTGTACCTATACCTTCAATGTGACCTTTTAAATTATCACCAAAAGTCACTTCTCCTCCATTTTTGGCGTTAAGCTCTATGAACCGGCTTTTGTCTCCGGTCATGTGTCTTGAGCATCCACTATCAAGGTACCATGAGTTTGAATTTGTTTCCCATGCTTTGTAGCAATGCTCCTTTTCCTCAAACATAGATTTATTTTTGATTTTTGGTACCCAAATTCTTTTGGGTCCATATTCATTAGTTTCCAAAATCCTAGTCCCCTTAGGTATGCATTTGTGTAGGATATCCTTATCTTTAGTAGTAATGAGTTCTTTAGGAACCCATATACTTCTAACGATTTTTTCATTAGAGGTTCTTCGGGGACCTCTATGATTGTTATTT